CAGTACTTAGCAACAACTAAAACATCAGTGTTATCAACATTGTTCTCGTACTAAATCTAAAACACAGCACTACACCAGCTACTAGGAAGAAAATTAACTCTATCCCAGCCAAAACCAGGACACACATAAAGGGTGTTTCATTGCTAGTGTGTCAGGCTGCAGACAGGCTCGGTGTGCACTGCATGGAACAGTCCATTCAGGTGTTGCACAAAGATGGATAATAGCAAATATTTGACTGTTTTCGTCCCAAGAGACGGGAATGAGATTCTTCCATTCCTGAGGATCTGAATAAACAGAGTAGGTTTTAGGCTGAGCATAAGTTAGACCAAGCCCCATTTACATCAGAGCCCATTACTGCTTTGGAGCTGCAGCAGCAATGTCATGATTACTAATGAGTGTCTCTAAATTACTCCATCTGCTCCTTCCTTCTTTTCTATCACAAACATATGCACTCTACCCAGGAAGGGTAGAAAGACGTTGAACAGTCCATTGCATCTTCTGTGCCTTAGACTTTTTGTCTGTGTGCATTTCCAGGGCCCAAAGGGAGAAAATGTTGGTTCGATCACTCAGCCTCTTCCCAGCAGCTACTTGATTTTCAGAGCAGCCTCCGAATCAGATGGTAAGTTTTGGTCTTCGTTTGCTTTCTCCAGATTGCATAGTCTTTACTAGTTAAGAAAATAAGTCGATGCAAAAAAAAATTGGTATGTGAAGGTAAAAATGGTGGCTCACGCAGCTTGAGATGCCATTTGTTATCAATGGTCAGAACAGATCACGCAGACTACAGGCACATTTCATATTTCTCACTGAACAGCCACCTTTCTGGCCATGTGTATGGAAGAAGGACCTAGGCTTGTAGCTGGTGAAAAAACACTAAGTCAGTCTATACTGAAGGATGAAAGGAGTTGATCCCAGAATTGGGATGAGAGGGGGGCTTAACTGTTTCCTCGGTGCAGCAGAGACTTTAGTGGGTTATCTGCCTACGTTTTACACTTGGTAGGGATCTGTTGGAGGAAAATTACATAGTAATATTGAAGAACTGTTTATAGATGTCTCTCAACCACAAGAATTCTGCTGTAAACTGGCTGTACCATGGTTTACAGTATAGCAGGCCCAGATGCTGATGACTCCACCTGTAAAATACCATTCCGGGAATTCACAAAATTATGGAAGGTAAATTTAGGTCAATATATAACAGGCAAACCAGCTTGCTATGTGAAAATCTCTATAAATTACTTTAGCAGACCTAAAATATCAGTGATTTTTAAGTAGATAAGAAGATTAAAAACATGTTTTCATTCCATTTGACCTTCAGACTACTGTAATTTTTTTTTTGTTTTTTTTTTTGCCATAGCAAATTAACCCAGGCTGTTCATTTTATGGATATTTTTCACCTATTCCACCAAGGGGGCTCATGTAGCCCATGTGCTCCTTTGGGTCTCATCTAGAATAATTTTAAGGACACAAGGATTTTTTATGGAGCACAGTGAGCTTTGAAAGCAGTGTCCTTCTTGTCCAGTGATTAAGTTTTACATATTCCTAAAGGCTGGAAATGGGACAATGCCAAATACACCTTTCACTTGGTGCTTAGAATAGGAGGAAACCTTTCATTACAGGCTTGGCCTGCTGTTCTTCCTGCTCCTGTGCAAAGTGGGCTGTTCATAGTGAGGGATACCATCTCAACCCTGAAAGCTGCTTGCAGATGCCAGTGTAGTGAAATGATATGAAAATAAGTGGAACTTGTATACAGCCATAAAAGCACAGCTTTTGCTTTGAATATTATGCTTTTGTAGCTTATGGAACAGTACAGCTTATTTGTGTAAAGGAATACAGGATTCCAACCCAGCTCCAAATAGCACCTGTCTAGAAAGGGATAGATTGATACAGTAGTCCCTTGGGAAAAAAGAGTGTTGTTGGGGTTGAGCTGCTAAATTACAGGCATTTCAAACCCTGGTTATACAGACAGCCCACAGAATAGATATAGGGAACAGTCCCCACAGAGTTGTTAGCAACCAAATAGCTTCAACAACTGTCAATCTAGATTTTCTAAATTGCTATTTCCTTAGACATCCATGTAACTTGTCTTTCCATTAACTTAATTAGAAAATGTCCAAAGGGAACAATGTGGTCATTGTATGTGTTCAAAACAAATTGCTGTGTCATAAAGTACTTTTTTCCTCGCATGTCAGCTATCTTCTAAATGAAAACTTTCATTCTGGTGGAAACCTAATGATTAAACCTTAAAGTCAGCCTGGCAGAGACCTGTGGCTGAACTTCTACTCTCTTTTTACGACGACTGCCATAGGCCAGTTATGTGAAGTAGAATAGCTTTAGATTTGTTCAAACTAACCTTACCCATAAAGGCTCCCAAGCTAGCAGTAGCTCTCAAGAGATCATTGGAGGTAAGACTCTTCTAGCTGTGTTCTCTCTGTCTGGGTCATACTCCACATGCTGAAAAAGCACAGAAGGGACTGTATCTGGCACATGAGAATTTTCAATATTTAAATGCCTGTGGGAAGATTTCTGCCCAGTGAATTATTACATGTCTCTCATATCATAAGAGCTTAAAATAGTGAGTTACTGGAATGTATTTTTAAAGCCAAGATATTGGCCAAGATTCTTGGGAAGCATGCAGAGGCCAGGCAGATCAAAGTAGAATTACTTTCAGTTTTAATATGATTTTCCTTTACTTTGCTGCTTCTCTACAGTAGGGTCTTAAGGTTAGATGGAAAGCTAATGTGATCAAGGGAAGGAGGAGGAACTGAGATACCTCTCAATCAAATATTGTGTATATAGAAAATAACTAGGGCCTTTGGTTAAGGATGAAATAATATATCCTCTTGAACAGCACTAGCGATGCCCTAGAGCCACCTGCAGAGGTTTGGAACCCCCACATTATGCCTGGTGGATCCTGAGAGTCGGAGGAGGTGACCGTGACAGCCAATGTGAAGTGAAGCTTTGGGATCTGCCCATTTAGCAGTGGACTTCACAAAAAAAATTGATATAAGATTGCACCAGGAATATTAGCATGAAAAATGGTGTCATTTTCAGCTGAATGAGAGTGTTTGACTTCACAGCTGAGGCCAGTGAGCTATGAGAAATGGCTGTACCTTGTGCAGGAAGGGAAGGATGTGAATCTGCAGACAAGAGGGAAGAACAGCTTGTACAGTCAGGCTAGCCTCCCTCCCAAACAAAAGAGCTGTATTGGCATGGTGACTGTGCTATGCCCCTTTTGTTTGTTAGTTAGCCTTTGTGGGGGCAGTTTGGGGGTATCCGCTCCACTGAGCGGTGTAGACATGCTGACAAATGGCCAAACACATGAGTGTCACGCTCAGTAATGAGTGACTTGGGGACAGTATTAACATCAGTAGGTGGCGTAAAACATATGCAGACAAGGACACAAGGAACAGAAACTGTTAAATTCAAAGAAATCTATATAAACTGCAGCAAATTAAGGCTTGTACTTTGCAATTAATACAATTTGATTTTAAGCCCAGAAGAGACACTGCTGAAATGATTGTACACTGTTATATAGCTTTACCTGTTGTAGAGAGGCATCTCCAAGAAGGTGTACCTGAGTTTGTTTCATTTCTTTAACGCACTGGACAAAAATAGAGGGTGCAATTATGGTCAAGAGAGGCAAGAGATTAAGGTAAAATGAGCTAAGGTAGCTGACACAAATGGGGCAGGTGGAATCTATTCCCTGGCATAATGTTGGTTTATATTTGTAGTATGTTCGTGTCTCCTCTGTAGATGCAATACTGCGTGAATCTACAGCATCTCTGAGGAGGTGTCCTGACCATGTTCTTCTTAACGCAGTCTCCCATGTTAGTGGTCGAAAATGAACCACAGAGCATTTGGCAAATTTAACAGTAATTCATGGAGGCCTTTGACTTGCTGGGGAATATTGAGTTGCAGCATATGTTAGATGTACAGCTCTGCTATCCAGGCAGCTATATCATGATCAGCAGCTACATGGCCTACTTCTTCTCTCAGCATTTCAGAATCCCTTTTGTCCCCTCTGCCATACCATCTGTGATAGACTGTTGGTAAGATTTAAGGTCCTGACTTCCAGACAGCCTGGAGAACCACTGCCAAGCTACAGTAGATTTCACATTCACAGACTGCAGCAGCAGTCTGCTTTGTGATGTGTTTTAAAGATGTCCGGAAGGTCATGTCAGCCTACAGGGCTCAACCTGTACAAACACAGGGTCGGTCTTTCTTACCAGTTTCAGAAAAGAAAATTGCTTTTTCCAAACCAGTGACTGTGTGTGCATTTCAGATTTATGCTGATGAGTGGCTTAGAATTAGTAGTTTAAACCTGTCCCGAGCTTCCTGCCCAGACCATTCTGGGGCTGCCCCTAAGATCTCCAGACTGGTGCCCCAGACCTCCAAAACATTTTGGGTCACCTGCCTGAATCTCATTGTGCAGATCTCCACCTTGCCACGGGCGCTGCCACTAAAGGGGTTACTAGGGGAATTCAAAGTGGCAGATTACCAAGGGTTAAAGGCTTAACAGTGGAATTGTAAACCACACTTACATTTTGTTCCTTATGTCTGTCCTCTCCTTCAGGCATGCTTTGGGTAGTCTCTGTTGCCTGATGTGGATGCAGTTGTATGGAAATCCTGATGTTTTGGCTTACAGTGGTGGTGTTTCTTTGCTAGGCATCTGGCCCTTCCACCAAAGTTGATGCTCTGATCTGGGGAGGAAATTAGATTATTGAAATAAGGGTCACACACAGAAGCAATGAAGCAGGAGGAAGATTGCAATTTGAAACCAAGTTCACAATGAAATATATCACTGGATCCTGGCAGTACTAGGAAAAATAGTAGTTACCTTCTTAGCTTCATGTCTACCCTTCATATTCCTTAGACCTTTCACAGCAGTTTAAAATCCAGGCATTTGGCAACCAGACTTCATTTAGCTTGGTGCATAAATTGCACCTGCAGCTAATTGAGAGATCACACCCTTGCATCTTGACAGCCAAAGTATAAGGACTCATGCATGCAGGCACCCAAGTGGTACAGCAAAATAAGCAGTCAGCTGAATACAATGACCTTAATGTTCACTGACTGAAATAAATCAGCTTCTTCCTCATCATTCATGATTTGTGTGCGCTTGAGCAAGAATTCATTGTTTCCAGGTGACAGTCTACTTCAGGTTGATTTTTAAAAGCATCTATCTTGTAAGTGTGAGGCATGAGGCTAAAAGCTGGATGACTTAAATAATTCAAGAAAATAATATTCCTGTAGTGATGCCTCTCTGGAGGAATGCGTGGTTACTAGGTGTGAGGCTTTTGACATCTTAATTGGCAAGAGATTCATTCCAGCCATTCTGTAGCTACAGGAATGCAATGGAAAAAAAATATAGTCCCAGACTGAGATTTCAGTGTGCAACACTGTGATTCTATCTCAAGCAGATTTTTGTTATTGGTGGGTGCTGAGAGAACATTGGCTGGCTCCTCTGTGATCAGGTGTTGCAAAATGTGGCAGATAGACTTGGCACGTCAAATTATGAGTTGTTCTAGGTGAATGATGGTGACTGTAAAGAATTTCAAAGCTGAATAGCTTAGTGTTTTCAATACTGCCTTTTTTTTTTTTCTGTGCGATATTGTAATTTTAGATCTGTTCAAAGACTAGGACAGACTCGAGTTATTCCTTGAACTGAGCCTAGGTTAGTGGCATAAACAACCTTCGGTTGTTTTGTTTTGTTTTTTTCCAAGGGGGAGACCCTTGTCGCTTGGTTTTAGTAGTTCCTTTTGTCTGTGAAAAAGAGTTGGTGCGAGCACATGCGTGCTCCTGTTCAGTCTTGCTGCCTCCAGGTTTCCGCATGGTGCCAGCAGTGCCCTGCAGACCTGGGAAGCAAGGAGCCGTAGTGGTTCCCCTGTCCACGGCTGTACTGCAGGAGTCATCTCAAAGGACCACAAGGTGCTTTTCCAGCCTACTGAGCCAAAAGGCCTGAAGAAAGCACACGGAAGGTTTCAAAACATACATGGGATGCATGATTGTCTTTGTTTTTGCAAAGTCAAGGCAACACATGTCCTTTATTCGCTTTTTTCCCCAAACCTTTCAAGAAGGAAGGAACGTTGGAACCCAGCTGTGTTTAACTGATTTTCCAAAGAGCTGCCTTTTTCAAATTGTCACTGATGACTGTTGTCATTTTACTGTAAACACATATAATAGAGAAAACAGGTTACAGGCCTACTCAGGGGAGACACCTGTTTCTTTTTTTTTTTTTTTTTTTTTTTTTTTTTTTTTTTTCAGTACCA